AAACCCACAAGGAGAAGAATGTATAATCCTAGTCTTATGAAGGAAAATAGGTATCAACATAGAAAAAGATTTGAAAGGAAACACCACATGAAAATGTTAACAGTTGTTCTTTCTGCTTGGGGGATTTTATAAGCGGCTTTTGCTCTTTTTACACTTTCTCTACATTTCCTAAATTTCCTACAATGAACATGCATTATTTTCAAACTTGGAAAAAATATTATTTAAATAGTTGTCTCATTTTTACCACTACTTGTTCATTCTCAGTGCTCCTATCCTAATTCCTTATAGCTTCTTTCCCCCAGGACTCCAACAATAGCTGCCTTCTTGAGGTCTCTGAGGCAGCTTCTCCGTAACTTTAATATTGCTTGTATTCATGCTCTGAAAATTCATCATTCATATTTGTCTACAGCACATGGAAACAGAGGCTGGCCATATAAGCAAACAACTTAAAAGAGGATTTCTCAACCTCATCACCACTGACATTTGGGGTAATTATTTCTCATGGAGGGGCTGACCCATTGCAGGATGTTTAGCAGCATTCCTGGCCTCTATCCACTAGATGCCAATAGCACCCCACCCCGCAAGGCGTGACACTGCCAAATGTCCCCTGAGGGGCAAAACTGCCAGCAGCTGAGAATCGCCGATTTAAAAGTTTTTAAACTTCTAAAATCATATCTCTTTTTATATATATGTCAAACCTAAACTTCTTTGACATATGTCTTATATAACATTCCTCATAGTCTGCCATAATCTTATTTTTCTCAACAGGAACTTTCCAAATAGACCAGACTTCCTGTTCCCTAGAAAAATCATTTTCATTCCCAATTTCAAGTCTTTGAACACACTGTTTCCTCACTAAAATTCCCCATTCACACTTCTATTCAATGCCCTACATCCATGCTTCAGTTTGGCTTCTTTGCAGAAGCATTACTGATCTATTCAGTTCAATTCATCATACACCCACTGCACTAATAAAGAATATCTCATATATCTTTCTTTCTTTTTTTTTTTTTTGGTGGTGGCGGTGGTGATTGTTGTTAATTTTATATCCCAAACTAAACTAACTTTCCTCAGGTTTGTTGCCCCAGCACATTTCTTTTGTATAACCAATTGGGCCTAACATTGCTTGATAACTGATGAATGAAATTAAAAATTTAAATGCTCGGCTGTAAATAAGTGTAAACTGATTTCTTAATTGCTTTTGAATCCTATTTCTTGTCATGGAGTTATTAGTTAAGTTAATCATTCCAAGTACAGAGTAACCACTCAGTAAGTTTTCAGAAAGAATCATTAATATATAATGGTATATTTTAAGGAATTACATAGGTTTCAAACTGTTCTCTACACTTTTAGGAAATGACACAAAGGGATTAAAACTATAACCTACAATACAAACATGAACTTTATAAATTCTATTTATCTTAAAATAGCCAATGGATTTTGCTGCTCAATGCACAAAAGTTACGTCCACAAGAGCAGAGAACTCGATTTAGTACTGTGTGCATGTACACAAACGCACCTCACACGTATATTATCTCCCCAGTTGAGAGAAGTAAATAAAATGAAACTGCTTTGTAAACTAAAAAGAGCAACATATAAATGAGGCAGTAGAGCAGCATAGCTAAAAGCATGGAGCCAGCCTGCTTGGGTCCCAACTATACTAGCTGTGTAACCGTGTACAAGTTACTTAACGTCTCTGTGCCTCAGTTTCCTCTTTGTCAAAATGGGGCTAATAATAGTATCTGTCCCAAAGCAAAGCTCTCAAAAGAGTGCTTGGCATATAGAAAGCACAAAATAAATATTAACCAATGTTATGATTACAACGCTAGTTATTAGCCAAGTAAAAGCCTCAACGTATAAAGTTCTGATTCAAGTCTGAAGCTGGTTTAAAAAACAACACAACAGGACAAACTACACAAATTTAAGCGATTAGGTGGACTAGTTTCTCATAATCTTTGCCAGTGCTTAACTGGTGATTATTACAGACCTAAATTCTGTTAGTCTCTCTCTTTTTTTTTTTTAATCTCAAAGAAACTGACATAGAAACCTCTGTTTTCAAGGAATTTTACAAGCCACAAGGAAACAAATCAACTCTTTGTTTTCTCCATATTTAAGCCCATTTAAGACCTTGGGAAAAGCCTAGGTACTGTTACAGAACAACTTTTCAGAAAATACAATGAGGTTTTTAAAGTTGCAATCAGCAATTCTTATGCAGTTATGTCAAGTTTTTGTCCTGCTGAACAAAAGGTTATGTGTCAGGGAAGCAAGGACCCGACAGAAAATAAGGAAATACCACAGCCGGGCCTAGGCGGCTCTCGGGAAAACCTGTCCTCAAACAGAGCGCCTCAGACGCCGGCGTCCTTCCCCGCTCACTGGGATGCACAAGTCGGCTCCATCCGCACATAAATAAGTGACAGCAGGTTCCGTCCACGCCTCTCCCGGCCCGGACCCCTCGCGCCCACCCGAGCGGGCTCCTGCGCCCGCCGCCCCGACCCTCCTCGCCGCGGCCGGGTAGGGAGCTCCACGGGAGACCGCGGCCCCGCCGCCCCGACTCCCGACCCCTGACCCCTGCAGCCCTGCGCGGGCCGGGCCGAGCAGAGGCCGCCGCGGGGCCTGCAGGTGGGCCCAGGGCGCGGTCAGGCCCGAGGAGAAGCCTGGCCCCCGCAGGGCAACCGCCGGCGCGAGGATGGCGCAGGCCCGGTTGTCACTTACCGGCGCCTCATGGTACCGCGGCGCCTCCGCCTAGCCCAGGCGCTGACCGACTGCGCCCCGGCAGCCCAGACTATCCCTCAGGTCCCCGGCCGAGCCCACTCTGAGCCATTCAAACGCGGCCGCACGCGCGGCCCGCCGGGATAGCTCCTACTAGGGCGTCTCGGAGGCTCCGCCCAACGCTGCCTCCGCCCCTCTCAGGTTGCGCAGGGGCGCAGGGAGCGGGAGGAGGAGGTGGTGCGGACACAGTGCCCCCTGGCGGACACAGGTACGTATGGAAGTCCTGCTACGATGGGGCAAGTAATACCGCTCGGGGAACTGAGGGTGGATAAGAGTCAAAGAATAACCCTGCGCTAGTCACAGTCTAGTGGGTGAAACCGTGCTTTAAGTGTTGCACCAGGAGGTGCTATATCTGCTATAATCTGCTATAAAAATAGGGTGCAGGGATGGGACTTCCCTGGTGGCGCAGTGGTTAGGAATCTGCCTGCCAAGGCAGGGGACACGGGTTTGACCCCTGGTCTAGGAAGATCCCACATGCCGCGGAGCAACTAAGCCCATGCACCATAACTACTGAGCCTGCGCTCTAGAGCCCGCGAGCCACAACTACTGAGCCTGTGTGCCACAACTACTGAAGCCCACTCACCTAGAGCCCGTGCTCCGCAACAAGAGAAGCCACCGCAATGAGAAGCCCGGGCACTGCAACTAGAGAGAAGAGCCCTGCGCTGCAACGAAGACCCAACACAGCCAAATAAATAAATAAATTTATTTTTAAAAAATATGGTGCAGGGAGAGACTTATTCATTCACTCCTATTTAAGAGCACTAAGGCAAAATATTTAAAAGGGTAGACTGGAGCTCTGCGACCTCAGGGAAGTCATATAAACTCCCATGAGCTTTGGTTTCCCCACGTGTAAAATAGGGATGTTAATGGTATCTGCCTCATCGTTATGAGGATTACATGAGTTAACACATATAAAATTCTTAGAGGAATGTATCTGGCACATGGTAAGCACTATATAATTGTTAGCTCTTATTTGTTAGTTCCTGATATTTGCCAGACTCTGTTCTGGACTGTTAAGAACACAAGAGGGCTTCCCTGGTGGCGCAGTGGTTGGGAGTCCGCCTGCCAATGCAGGGGACACGGGTTCGAGCCCCAGTCCGGGAAGATCCCACATGCCGCGGAGCGGCTAGGCCCGTGAGCCATGGCCGCTGACCCTGCGCGTCCGGAGCCTGTGCTCCGCAACAGGAGAGGCCACAACAGTGAGAGGCCCGCATACTGCAAAAAAAAACACAAAAAAACCACAAGAAATATGCATGATGTGGACCCTGTCCCCAGGAAGCAGGCTCAGTTTCTTTGGGATGGTGAACACTAGAGGATGAGGTTAGGGTTGGATCTGTCCCTGACATGCTTTTAATTACTGAGGATAATTCTCTTCATCTTAGTGGAGACAGAGTCTACCCATCTTCACAGGTAAGCTACTGGTCAACATTAACCAAATTGTGACAGGGGCAAGTTTGTCTCTGGTGGGCCTCTCATCCCTTGCAGAAGCCTATCAAGTAGTGCATTTGGTGTAACTGTTGCTCACTGCAAGACTCCACATCCCTGGACTCACTGCTTTAGGCACTCTGTTCAGAACTCCCCAGGGCTACCTAAGCTGGGTTTAACAATATTTTTGCGGGCCCATCATGTGCCAGGCTGACATTGTACCAGGAGATAGCCTGCGGAAGCTCACAGTGGCTTGGACAAACAGGGAAAGAGATCATTCCAATACATTGTGGTGAATGCAATGATAAAAGGTATATCCTAGAGGCTGTGGGAGTTCAGAGCAATGGGAGGCCTGGCAGATAAACTAATCAGAGCTAAAATATCATTAGGTAGTAATAACAATGTATTTTTCCCCTCTAGTAACAAGGTCCTTACTTAATACAAAAAAATTAAGTAATGATGAAAATTTCAGGCACTACTTTAGATTGATGGGAGAAATTTTTTTTTTTTTGCGGTACGCGGGCTTCTCACTGTTGTGGCCTCTCCCGTTGCGGAGCACAGGCTCCGGACGCGCAGGCTCAGCGGCCATGGCTCACGGGCCTAGCCGCTCCGCGGCATGTGGGATCTTCCCGGACCGGGGCACGAACCCGTGTCCCCTGCATCGGCAGGCGGACTCTCAACCACCGTGCCACCAGGGAAGCCCGGGAGAAATATTTTTAGGATATGTTTTGCATGAGCAATGCCTTTGCGAGCTTCTCAGATTGTACCAAGCACAAGCAGGCACATGCCGCTGTGCGGGGCCATACCTGTCAACAGAGGGGACTGTTGAGAGACTCCAGCAGGGTGAGTGAGTGAAGGGAGCAGAAGCCCTGGGTTCCAGTGGTGTGCAGCGCAGACACTCCCGGAGTATAACTTCCACTAAGTGGGTGTGCTGTTTTAAAGAAAATAAAATTCAACATACATGGGTGAAGTCATTTTCTCTCCAACTATTTCTTCATCACCATTGTCACAAACAGGAATTTCTCGATGACCCACTATACAAAAGGCACTGTGCTGGGCCCTCACCAGAAGAGGGTGAAGAGTGTAAGGAACAGTTCTTACCCTCAAGGAAGGCTGGGTGATGAGGTAAGACAAGTAACAGAGTCCTAGGACTCAGGGAATCTGCTGTGTTAACACAGAAGGATCTCAGCTCAAACAAGGTCCCAGGTTGTCTGAAGGCCAGAGGAGAACCTTGATGTTCTCATTTCTAGAGCTTCTTAGGGCAAGAGACTCAGGCAGGTTCATCTTCAGACTCTAGTTCTGGGGTTTACAGATCTCTGGCCCATCGTTCTCATAAGACTGCCAAATGTCAACATAACTTAAGGTGAAAATAAAGAAATTTGCCTTCATATTGCTATTTTTGAAATATATATCATTTTAGTGATGAAATGCAGGTCAGTTGTCTTCATTGATATTTTTCAGTCAATAAAGTTGAATTTTTTTTCCCCTTGGAGTGCAATCAAAATTTTTTTGTTGTTGTTAAGGGATTAAAAAAGAGTGCATTCCATACATATTTTTATTGTCCCTGCACCACCAGCCCTTCACAGAAAGGTGGTTCCCTGCCAGCCCTCACAGTGGACAGTCTCCAAGGGAGTGCACCCCTCTAGCCATTTCCTCATTGCTTCCTCTGACTGCCTTAGATATTCCTTCCATCTGAGTGAACAGGCAGCTGAATTAGCCTTTCTGCCCTACATTCCCCCTCTCACAGGGGTATGGACATCAGAGATGGTGTGTAGAATAACCCTGACTATAAACACCCATGTGAGAAAAGAACTCTCACGCAAAGTTGTATGTATGCTTCTGAGTGGAGAGTCAGGGAAGGGATCATGCAGGAAGGCTGCAGTCGGGCCTGACAAGCTGGACAGGATTTTGACAGGCAGGGTGTTCCAGACAGACAGGGGAAGTACAAAATAAATTCCAGGACCGCCGTCTATCACGGTTTGAGTGGGGTGGGGAGAGCTCTGGGGAGTAGCAGGAGGAAAGACTGTCACCTGACAGGTTGTGAAGATCTGGAATAATCAAGCAAAGGTGTTTGGGAAGGAAAAAAACTACTAGAAACCATTAAAAGTCTATTACTCACAGACAAGCACTGTCTCCATTTGAACATATGTTTTTTCAGACATTTTACTATGCAAATGTACCTACATTTAAGAAATGAGATCATATCCTTACAACTTTGTAAACTGCATTTTTATGATAAATATCATATTACATAGATCAATCCATATAATATTAATTGAAATGCCAATCACTATAAATGCATATAATAATATAAATGGCAGTTGAAACTTTAAGACACAAAACAACAAGGCATAGGCATTGAGCGGGGAAATGAGAATTAAATCAGTACTTTAGGAGGATTAATCTATCATCAGGATGCAAGATGACTAGTGGGAGGGAGGGAGCCCATGAGCCTTAGGCATGAAAATGTTGTCCTTTGGGCCGGAGGTTCAGGAAGCCAGAGCATTTACTGTGGTGATGCCATTCTCATCCCCTCAGACTAATGCCAGGCCTGGTAGGGGACCGAGCATGAAGAGACGTAAAACACAATAGCTCATCCATTCCATAGCTAACTACATCTACTGCTCAGCCTCAGAGCCTTTGGAAAATTCCAGCTGACTTTGGCAGTCAAAGTGAGAAGTCAATCGCTTTTATTCTGCTCCTCCCTTCCCCACCTTCCTGTGCAGACTGTGGAAGGAAAGGATGGCAGTAGGGAAAGTTTCAGATAAGGCAGTAGCAGTGGAAAGGAGCAAAGCTCACTCCCCGTTTGCAAGATTCACGGTCGTTTCAAATACCACCACGGTACAGATGCCTTGGTGGCGGAAGCAGCAGCAGCTTCCTAGATTTCGTTTGGCAGGTGGAGGGTGGGGGGCTGGGGGGGGACTGTTGAATGGTAGGGGATCCTCCTGTTAAAAACAGTTTGTTTTGGATGCAGCTCTGTGGCACTTCGACAGCTGGAAAGCAGGTGATGGTATTTGTTATAGATTTTCAAATGTGAAGCCAAAGAGACCGTTTCTCTCCTTCCCCAAGTAGATTTCCTGCAATTACATACACTGTCACCTGGAAGATGGTAGGGGGCAGCATGTTAGAGCAGAAAGAACACTAACTTTGGAGCAAGGTTCATCTCTATCAGAAGCCTTGATCACTGCCTTTGGGCCCTTCTACACCATCTTTACCTTAACTGCAGAGGGAGGATAACTCTTCTCTTAGGGGATGTTGGGAAACAGGGTAACCTATGTAAAACACTCTTAATAGTATATAGCACACTGATTGTGGCTCTCTCTCTGCAAAATATTCCCCACCCCCAACTTTACCTGTCCAGTGATTTTTCTAAGAGAAGAACACAATTTGGTTGACTACTGCCTTGGAAAAGCAGTCTTGGAACTAGACCAGTTCCAGGAGGGGGGCCAATGCTGTGGAGACAGACTCGCTGTGGTGTCGACAGCCTGGTAATCAGTACAGGGTATCTGAAAGTTATGACCTTTCACAAAACAAGTCCAGTCGTGCAGCTGCTTGAGGGTTTGATACTCCGGGGCCCTCATAACAAACAGGCATAGTGGAGAGGAGTTCAAGGGCAGGGTGCAGGCAGGAAGGAAATGAAATGGGCGGGACAACAAGCATTAGAAGCAGGATAATGTCCTCGGGAAGGGGGCTTGAAAGGGCAAAGGAGGTCTACAGCCTCAGGAGACTGGAGCTACAGGAAGATCACTAAGACTGAAGTCCATTTCTTGGAGCCGGACACACGGTCAAAGTACTCTGGCAGTAACAAAATTGAGTCTGACCCTAAACTGGCTATCCAAAATTAGCTGTGTTCTTCAGAACACCCGTTCTGCAAGATGTTGATACATTGAAAAGAGAGGGAAAAAGGGAGAAGAAAAAAAGGCTTCCTTGGCCAAAGAAGTTCAGTAACTGATGGATAAAACAAATATTTCTTTACTGTAGCATTTCTCAGTCTTTAAAATACTAACATTAATTGTGAATCTCTAAAAGAAAGGGAATTCCTTGGTGGTCCAGTGGTTAGGACTCCACACTTTCACTGCCCAGTGCTTGGGTTCAACCCCTGGTGGGGGGAACTAAGATCCCGCAAGCTGCGTGGCGAGGTAGGTAGGTAAGTAAATAAATAAATAAATACAAATAGAAAGATAGAGCAGTGCTGCCCAAACTCACCTAAACTCTGAATCCTTTAAAGGCGAGAGCACACATATTCTACAGAAATAATCTGATCTACAAAGGGTAGCAGGACTAGTTCCAGTCCTGGGAAATGGGGTGTGGCTCCAGTTGTAGGCTGGTTGGGGAGGACTGCGGAAATTGGTGAGTGGCATCGTGGTGGTGCCTCATGATTGTGGCCAGAGCTGGATGAAAGCAACAGAAACTGAACATCTGGCAGAAGTATCAGAGTTTTTTTGAAAACTGAAAGATTCAGCCGGACTTCTTCCTTTGCCTTTTACAAAAATAAAAATATGGCCCTTCATGGAAGAGCATGTTATAAAACATATGTTAAATAAGTCAAAATATAAATCAAAGAATCTGGGAGAGTCTAAATCAAAATGTCCACGAAAATTATTATTGTTATCACTTTTTTGCATGGTAGGATTCGTTAATTCTTTTTTACTTATTTGTATTTTTTCATTTTATCTAATAAATGTCTTTTTTAATTAAAATAATTTTTAAAAATCACTTTACTGGGCTTCCCTGGTGGCGCAGTGGTTAAGAATCCACCTGCCAATGCAGGGGATACGGGTTCCAGCCCTGGTCTGGGAAGATCCCACATGCCGCGCGCGGAGCAACTAAGACCATGCGCCACAACTACTAAGCCTGCACTCTAGAGCCCATGAGCCACAACTACTGAACCCGTGTGCCACAACTATCGAAGCCCGTGCACCTAAAGCCCATGCTCTGCAACAAGAAGCCACAGCAATAAGCCCGTGCACCACAACGAAGAGTAGCCACCACTAGCTGCATCTAGAGAAAAGCCCACATGCAGCAATGAAGACCCAATGCAGCCAAAAATAAATAAAATAAATAAATTTTTAAAATAACTTTACTAATTTACAGCAATTAGGAAATTAAAATTGTGCAAATGTCTTTGTTTTTTTTGGGTTTTTTTTGCGGTACGCGGGCCTCTCACTGTTGTGGCCTCTCCTGTTGAGGTCCAGACATGGAGGCTCAGCGGCCATGGCTCACGGGCCCAGCTGCTCCGCGGCACGTGGGATCTTCCCGGATCGGGGCACGAACCCACGTCCCCTACATCGGCAGGCAGACTCTCAACCACTGCGCCACCAGGGAAGCCCTGTGCAAATGTTTTAAAGTTTAGGATTTGATTTGGCAGCCTTGGCAATATTATTTTAGTATTTGCTATTATTTCCCACTTAAGCTAACCCTGGTTAGCCTAATTCATTTGAATGAGTTCCTCCTTCAGAAGGAAACTTGTATTAGTTTCCTAGGACCATAGTAACAAAGTACCAGAAACTGGGTGGCTTAAAACAACAGAAATACAGTCTCTCACAGTTCTAGAGGCTGGAAAACCAAAACCAAGGTGTTGGCAGGGCGATGATCTTTCTGCAGGTTCTAGGCAAGAATCTTTCTTTCCTTGCCTCTTCCTAGCTTCTGGTGGCTCTGGCAATCGTCATCTTGTAGCTGCAGTAATCCAATCTGCCTCCATTGTCACATGGACTTTTACCCCATGTATCTATCTGTGTGCCCTCTCCTCTGATAAGGATATCAGTTATTGCATTTAGAACCCACCCTAATCCAATATGACCTCATCTAAACTAACTACACCTGCAAAGTTCCTATTTCCAATTAAGGTCACATCCTGAGGTTCCAGGTGGATGTGAATTTTGGGGGAACACTATATAACTCACTATAAGACTAAAAATAATTTAGTTCACAAACTCTTAAAAGTGTAAATTAGCACATTTTGGAGGGCCTATCTTAACTTATTAATATTGTAACTGTATAACCTCTGTGGTAAGCAATCTTAATTGTACCACTCTCCTACAGAACTGTGCTGACAAATTACCCAGGGATGTTCATAGTAACATTTTTTTTGTAACAGTGACAAATGGGAACAACCTAAATGCCCATCAATTAGGGACTGGTTAACTAAGTTATCGTACATCCATGCCATGTATACCCTGTAGCCTTTAAAAAGAATGAGGTAGATCTGAGTGACAGACATGGAAGACATCCAAGATGGATTAAGTGAAAATACAAGTCAGTGCACAGTGTTTAATATGTTTCCACTTATGTAATAAACTTCTACAAATTAAACAATCCTACATTTATTTTATGTTTTAACGGATGACTACCTTTCAAAAGCACTTCAATAAACACAAAAGGTACTTATTGTTCTCCTTCAAGTCTTCTGAATCCCACTTCATCCTTTTATTAGTCTGCTTGGGCTACCATAACAAAATACCACAGACTGGGTGGCTTTAACAACAGAAATTTAGTTTTTCACAGTTCTGGAGACTGGGAGGTCCAAGATCAAGGTGCTGGCTGATTCAGCTCCTGGCGAGACCTCTCTTTCTGGCTGTAGACAGCCACCTTCTCATTGTGTCCTCACATGGCAGAGTGACACAGCAAGTTCTCTTGTGTCTCTTCTTATAAGGACACCAATCCCAGTATGAGAGCCCTACCTTCATGACCTCATCTAACCCTAATTACCCCCCAGAGGTCCCATCTCCAAATACATTGCAGGTTAGGGCTTCAACATATGAATTCTGCGAGGACAATCCTCCTTACAAAAAACTCAGGCTATAAAACAATGCTTTATAATGGAACCAATCGAGGCTTTTTAAAATTAGCACATAAGAAAAAATGCCACAAAGGACCTGGATTAGTCACTCAGATCCTTGGTGTAGAGACAGTTTAGCCCACCTCCAAGACAGCTGAAATTAATCACCAGCATGAATCCAGAGTAACCAAGTTTGAAGAAACATGTTAGGCTATCAGTGATATATCATTATGACTTATGCTATAGTTGTCATTCTTAGCTTTCAATGGGATCTGTGGGAATGGCAATCCTCCCAGCTTCCTAAGCAAGTGCTGGAGGGAAGTGCTATAATGGGAACCTGTGAACTGCAGGTAAAATGTGAATTGCACAACAGTCTTCCTGAAATTAAAAAAAGGTAATTACTAATGAAGAATGGTATTACTAACCAACATCTTTTCCCAGCACCATATTAGTTCATGACACTGCAGAGCCATGAACCAGAAATTGAAAAATTTGTAATCCGCATAGAAATAGTGCAGATACCCAAGAGCTAGCAAGGTAGGATCTTACTAAGATCTTAGTAAGAGGTTTGAAAATGCAAACAGACAAAACAGAGGAAAAAGTTTCCTCTTGTTAAAACCCCATTACTGACATGGAATAAACTGCATCATGAATGGTGCAATAGTAAGGTGTTCCTTTTCAGAAGGCAATAATGATAGTAGAGTTAAATAACACAAATAAATGGAGATTGCAATAGAAGTCCATTTTATTTAAGCTGCCAAAAGGATTAGGAGCTTTTAGAGCACGCTGGGGGAACTGGCTGGACGGCTGAGGATAGCCCAATAGATTTATTATAGGGACACTGTAAAATGGCAGAGACCAAAAACTTAAGACATAGCTGTAAAGCTTTTTTTCCTTTAAAGGGATCCATTCTCGCAAATCTGGTTGTGTGAAATAGAAATTTCTTTGTTCAAGTTTCAATCCAAATGCAACTGCTCTGAAGAGAATGGCATGAAGTATTAGAAAGAGTCAGCTTCTCAGACTCCTAAAGAGGTTGCGGGGTGGAGTGGCAGGGGCGGGGAAGATAGTTACAAAAACAAATACCAAAACTGCGCAGGTGGCACAAATTGTAAAAGTCAAACAAGGCAACTCATATGACCTGTGGAATCATGGTTTGCCTTCTCAGTTTCTTTAATTAAAATCATATTTGCTCAAAGCCACAAAGTAAAGGAAGTTTGACATTTAGTTTTACAATTTCAGTATTTCTATTATTTTCTAATTCAAGTTTATCCCAGTGGGAGGCATAAAAGGAGGCTCTTAAAAACTAATGATTGCTTAAATTACTTTGTGTAAATTCAAACCTTGTCATTTTAGAGCAACCAAACACTCCAGGTCAGTGGTTCTCAGTCCTTGCTGCAAAGGAGAATCACCTGGAGAGCCATACAAAAATACTGATGACCTTGCTCCACCCTAAGCAAATGAATTAGAATCTCTGTGGGTGTGGCCAAGGCATCAGTATTTTTTAAGGGCTCCCAAGATGAGTCTCCTTTGAATCCAGGACAGAACCATTCCACTTCTAGGTTTAGAATCATGTCATATTATAATTAATAACATTTATATTTCTCTAAATCCAAAAGTGGTACCCGCATAATGCAGAGAATTACTAAAAGTATGGGAAAGCACAATTTTAAAAAATGATGTGAAATCCCATTATTCCTTAATGTGTTTATGATTTGTCTTCTTTCTATGAATATACCATATATGAAAGAATAATATGCAAAATATGTATTCCAAAAAAATACATTTTAGAACTAGAAGGTACCCTAAGAAGTTATCTGGTACAAGTCCCTTATTTTATAGATGAAGAAATGTAGGCCAAGAGAGTTCCTACCTCTCTTAGAAGTTCATTTGGAGTCAGGATTAAACTATATGTTACCCTTTACTTTTCTTACAAAACACATTTTTGTGCAAAAACTTGGATCCTCAAAAGTTTAATTCCAAGAGAAATGCAAATCAAAACTATAATGAGATATCATCTCACACCAGTCAGAATGGCCATCATCAAAAAATCTAGAAACAATAAATGCTGGAGAGGGTGTGGAGAAAAGGGAACACTCTTGCACTGCTGGTGAGAATGTGAATTGGTTCAGCCACTATGGAGAACAGTATGGAGGTTCCTTAAAAAACTACAAATAGAACTAACATATGACCCAGCAATCCCACTACTGGGCATATACCCTGAGAAAACCATAATTCAAAAAGAGTCATGTACCAAAATGTTCATTGCAGCTCTATTTACAATAGCCTGGAGATGGAAACAACCTAAGTGCCCATCATCGGATGAATGGATAAAGAAGATGTGGCACATATATACAATGGAATATTACTGAGCCATAAAAAGAAACGAAATTGAGCTATTTGTAATGAGGTGGATGGACCTAGAGTCTGTCATACAGAGTGAAGTAAGTCAGAAAGAGAAAGACAAATACCGTATGCTAACACATATATATGGAATTTAAGAAAAAAAAATGTCATGAAGAACCTAGGGGTAAGACAGGAATAAAGACACAGACCTACTGGAGAACGGACTTGAGGATATGGGGAGGGGGAAGGGTGAGCTGTGACAAAGTGAGA